ATGGGGAAAAAATAGTATGCTTGTATCCTGATACATAGGACCATTGTGAGGGTTAATGAAATCATACAAAAACACTCGGTAACTATGAGAAACCAACAAGTGCTCATTCTAAAGTTGATTGTCATTACTTTCACTGTTAATGATGAAGCAGTTTGGGTGACAGTGATTTGAAACCTACGAAGCACTACGAAAAGGAGAAGTAAGGATGATGATGATGATGTTGTACACATGGAGAAATGAGACCCAGCCTGCATGGTAGAAAGAGTAGCAGACAGGAAAATCTGTTCATCATGCTTTCCTCACCATCACCCAGCAATGTGACCTTGGGCCACACGCCACCAACTACCCTATTTCTTACAAACAAGGCAGTTTGATGAGAATATCTTTTTTTTTTTTTTTTTTTTGAAATGGTGTTTCTTTATATCCCTGGCTATCTAGGTTAGCTTTGAATTCAGAGAGATCCTCTTGCCTCTGCCTCTCAAGTGCTGGGACTATCCTGAATTCCCTATCAGGTCAGAAGTCCTGATTCTATGGGTGTTGGAAAAAGAATGTGCGTAGCAAGCCTTTGATTATTCCTGAAATGGAGAAGTAGTAACTGGTAATTACTAAGATCAATGGTAAACATCTCTGAAGTTGATAAACGCTAACTCCCTTGGAGTTACCACAATTAATGTACAGGGGAGGAGTACTGAAAAGGCAAACTCTTCCTACACATCTCAAGCATTTTGGAGGACACCATAAGATGATAACTGGTAACTATGATAGCAGTGCTGAACTAGACTACATGAAGACAAAATTATGCCCAGCATCCATAAACTCAGGCAAAGAAATATGTGCAAGAACCCTTAAAACTAGGGTGACAATGATGGCTCAGCAGTTAAGAGCTCTTTGAAAATTCCATTCCATGGTATCTGAGTCCCTCTTCTGGCCTCCATGGATTCCTGCATGTGTTGCACATAAACTCATGGATGTATACACACATACACATGCACACACACACACACACACACACACACACATACACACACACACAAATAATAGATAAATCCCAACAAAGAAGCAAAGCAAAGAGAAACCTTTTAGGGTTTGTGGCTTCAGTTATGTGGTGCCTGCAGCTTTCCTATACACTTTGTTGAGCTCCTTATTCCCCACCCTCTTAACATCCACTGAGTATTTGTTATCTGCTAGATGTGGAGGTGAACTTGGAGGCAGAAGTGTTATCGGATAGCACATTTTTACTGTGGAGGATTCGTGTGCATTTTCAGCAACATCCTATATTGAGCGTCTATTGTTTGTCTATGAGTCTGTGAAAACAGAGAGGTTTGTATATCCAGCTTTGGCTTGCTTCTTTACCCCCAGCCCTCCAAGCAGCTCCTGGATGTTAAATATTATCTCTCCATGTGATTTGTAGCAGAAGGAAGATCATCTGTTACTCTTTTACTTCCCTAATGAGCCCTCAAGCTGGTTTTCAGGGCAGCCATGGATCTCCCCCCTCCTTTGGAGAAGACTGATGATGGTTTGGATTTAGCTGCTTGATGTTAATTTCCTGCAGGACTCAACTTTTATTCTTCTCCTTTCTTCTTTCTGCTTTACTCACAAATAAAACTAAATAACCAGGACAACCAGAAACAATAGCTAAAAGTAGACAGTAAGGTGTGGTGGCAACACCTTGATGAACAGGCTAGATGTTTGCTACCATGGTAACTACTATTAAACAGCCTGCCACACTTTTGACTGCGCTCTGTAAATGTGAAACTTTTTTCACATATAAATGCTCAGATCAACTCTATCTAAAATACTTTCAAGACTCTTCTTTAATAGATGTCTACTGATTTCTTCAGATAGTTTCATAAATGTTGAATGTAGTATTGAAAGGTTTCCTTATATTCATTGATCTTCATTATCTCTGGTATTGGCAGAATATTGTGAAAACAATATTAGAACACCCCCCGGGGGGTGGCTACTAGAAAGGTATGTCAGGGAGTAAAAGTGCTTGCGATACAAGCATGAAGACTAGAGTTTAATGCCAGAACCCTCCTAAAAAGGTAGGAGTGGTCATGTGCAGGTCTCTAAGCCTAGTACTCTGGGAGTTGGATCCCTGGGGCTTGCTTATCACCTCCTCCGGGGCCAGTGAGAGATCCTGCCTTGAAGGAATAAAGCAGAAATTGAAAAATCAGCACACCCACCATCCTCCTCTGGCCTCTGTGTGAGTACAGGCGTGTTCGCCCTTATACATACACAAACATACACCACACATACATTCTTCCTCCCACATACTTGCACATGAAAATTTTTTTATAAAAAGCATTTAATGGAAAATAAAAGAGTTAATACTTAAAGTTACTTCTAATTATCTGGAAAATTAATACTAGATAACTGAACCCTCATTCAACAATTCATTAGATACATATCTATTAAATGCTTAAAAGTGTCAAGCATTATATAAATACTGTAAATATAAACAAAATTAAGAATGGCCGCTAGAGCTGGGTATGGCGGCACATGCCTTTAATTCAGCTCTCTGGAGGGACCAGTTGGATCTCTTGTGAGTTTAAGGCCAGCCTGATCTACAAAGCAATAACAATCAATACTCAGGACAAATAATTCTGGTTGCATCATATATCATAAATTTGAGATTTCTTGTTGATTGTTTTCTGGTACTAAAATCATTATATTACCCCCCCCCCAAACCTCCTACACTGCCCTGTGCTTAGAACCAAACTCAGGGCCTTGAAGGCTAAGTTGGTACTCTATACTATGAACCTAAGAATGATCATTTGGTGGTAACATTGCATTTCTCCACAATTCTGGCTTCTTTCTTTTTTTCAAGTTGCTGAGGACTGAACCCAGGGCCTCCAGCATGCTAGGCCTGCACTGGGTCACTAAGCTCCAGCTCCTGGTTTCATCTAATATGCTTGGTAATTAGCAGTTTACAAAGTGCTTTCATGTCTGTCTTGCTGGAAACATAGGTTTTTTTTTTTAAAAAATTGTTTCATGTCTGTCTGGACACTGTCTCCTTTCTGTTGTATGTGAAGCTAAAATTTCCCAGTGAATGCTATTGTAATGACAGTGTCCTCTACTGTACACCTGGGGTGGTTATTTGGTCTTGGGTTCCTCAACCATCAAAGCCTTTAGGGCATAATCTCAGAAATGCATTCTTACTTTGTCTTTGCTTTTTTTTGGGGGGGGGTGTTGAGACAGGATTTCTCTGTGTAGCTTTGCAGCCTGTCTTGAAACTCATTCTGTAGACCAGGCTGGCCCTCGAACTTACAGAGATCTACCTGCCTTTGCTTCCCAAGTGCTGGAGCTAACGGCATGTGCCACCTTCACCTGGCTCACTTTTGCTTTACAGTTTCTTTTCATTTAATTGCTGCTGGTTCATGTTCAATGCCTTCTTTTTATGGAAGAGTTAATTGAAGGTGAGAGCCATTAAGAAGGTGGTCAAAGAAGTAGTAGTACTGGGTTTCAACCTGTGATTTACACTCTTTGACTGGATATCTTTTAAAAACACTGTGCTGTCATTAACTGCTATTTATCCAATGATACAATCTCCCCAGGATATCACATACCTCTCATATATTGCTGGTAAATATTTGGTTGCTATTGTAAGTACGTCTAATCAGTTTATTTTTAATATGTAATATATGATAAAACATTTTCATTATTTATATATTTAATGGTAACATCAAATGAAAATAAATTTAATACATACACATTTATTGTGTATGTGTATACATGTCAGTAAGGCCAGTCTTTGGAGTTCAGAGGACAATTTTTGGGAGTAGGTTCTCTCCTCCATCATGTGGGTTCTGGGGATTGAATTCATCTGTCAAACTTTTAACAAGTACCTTTATCCATTCAGCCATCTTGCCAACTCCAAACTAGTTTTATATAACATCTCGCATACAAAATAACGCTGTTTTTACTTCTTCCAGGGTATACGTATTATCCCAGGGATTATGTGGTCACTGAATTACTTTTACTAAATGTTAAATCTAATATAGGCAGGCCTTTGGTACATGAAAACCATTAAGTTTTGGCCTGACTTTATCTTCTTCATTAATTATTATTTTTAGACATGGTTTAACTATGTAGCACTGGCTGGCCAGGAGCTGGCTATGTAGAGCATGCTGTCCTCAAATTTACAGAGATTCACTTATCTTTGTGTTCTGAGTGATAGGATTAAAGGCATTTATCATCATGTTAACTTATATTTATTTTTACTTGAGGCTGGGTCTCACTATGGTCGATTTTCTTGTCTCTGTCTCCTGGGTTTTGGGATTACAGGCATGTGCCCAGCTGGCTTGTCTTTAATTGGACATTCTCTTTGGATTTGCTTAGGATCAGTTAACACCAGATCATTAGAAACAGTTTAGTTTTATCATAATTAATCCTGTGTGAGAAAATTAGTAGCAGGAACACTAGCAAAGCGTTCGAATGCAGATATCAAAGGACTCACCTATGCATTTAGGACTTCTTCTTTTCAAAGAACCCCAGAGCTACTACTGACATATTGCCAAATAGATTTTGTTTTGTTTTTCAAGACAAGGTTTCACTGTGTAGTCCTGGCTGCCCTGGAACTCACACAGCAGACCAGGCTGGCCTCCAAATTCATTGCGTGCTGGGATTAAAGGCATGTGCCACCTCTGCCAGGCGACAAACATGGATTTAACAGTCTCCCAGGCATATACATGCCTTTAGCCGCAGCACCCAGGAAACAGAGGCAGGAAGATCACATGTTCTAGGCCAGCCTGTTCAACACTGTGAGTTCCAGGCCAGCGAGAGCTACATAGTGAGACCCTGTCTCAAAAAAGGTTAATCTGGGGCAATCGAATCATTTTCCTCATGCTCCCTTTTTGCTTTCCAGCACTGAGGACGGGCTCCAAGGCTGCGCGCCCCGAGGTCTAGCCTTAGAAGCAGGGTGGGGGCTGCCAGCCCCTGGCACGGACACCAAGCTCCGCCCTCTGGGTCGCCGGGTCGCCCGGGGCGCGTCCTCGGACGCCTTTCCGCTCTTTCGCCGGGCTCTTCCTGCCACGCGCTGGCCACGCCCCTCGCGACATTCAGCTAGTCATGGCGGCGCGGCTGTGTGCACGGCACCTCCCTCTGGCATGGCTCTGCAGGTGCAAGCCCGTCTCTTCTCTAGAACCCCCCACTCCCCAGTACCGGGTACACCCGAGAAAACCAGTCCCCTTTTTCTTCGTTGCAGGAGAGCCGCGCAGGGCCAAGGCCGGCACTACCGCGCCGCACTCTGCGCCGAGTTGAAACATCCCCTGATTATTGAAGAAATGGCTTCCCGCCCTCTAGGGCCACACGAGGTAGGGTGACAAGCCTGACCTCTGGATGCTGCCATGTATGGTTCAAAACCTCTGCCTATCTGGGCCACGGACTAGAATGGCTTCCCGCTACAGTCGAGATCCTAGTTCCCAAGCATATAGGGTGACCCGAAGGTTGGAGAGCACCCACTCTGGGCTGGAAGGTCAAGCCGTTAAGGTTCACAGAGAGGCCAGAAGTGTCAAGCAAGCTGTCTCTCAGAGCTCTCTAAAGCTCCAGAGTAGTTGCCTTAGAAACAGCATCTGATTTACACATGACTTTACATAACAATACAGATAAAGGACCCTTATCCTTTGCTTAGCCCCTCTTCAGTGTCAGCATCAAATTGTCTGCCCTTCCCTTTCTCCCAAACCCCACTCTGTCTCAGTGAATACATGCCTGGGTTCCTCTGATGTTCTGCAGTAATTTAGAATTGGACTCTTTTTTTGTTGTGGCTTTTACCCAGATATGTGAAAGCCACCTTGGCTTTGCTTAGTGACCACTATGGTGACAGTATGTGACAAATACATAGTGCCGAATGCAGAACTTGAAACAGGGTGGAGTAGGCAAATGTCTTCACATTAGGAATCGCTGACGGGAGACAGAAATGCAGCTGCAGCCCTTAAGGTCACCAGAATGGAGCTTGTGGTTAAAATGGATTATTTAGAAGAGCATATGATAGCAGCCACTATGCTCTCTGGATTTGTGTGCCCAGAGTTCATCTCAAGTCATTCCTTTCTGGGGAATTGGTGTTCTCTTTGAACACACCATGTCATCCAGGCTGACTTTGAACTTGTGATCTTCTTGCAGAGTGCAGAAATGCCTTTGGTTCTTAAAACCAAAATGGAGTGAGTGCCTTAAGGACATGTGAGTGCTGTCCACTGGTCAATAACTACTCCAGTTTTCCAAGGCTGAAAGGGCTGGGCTCCTCTTTTGTATTGTAATGAGTTAGCTTGTGAGAGCTGTCTTTATGTTATTTTTACTCACCATTAAATCGCTTGAGTTTGGAATGGACCCTGGCATGTGTGACTTGCCTAAAAAATTGAAAAAAGCCGTGGGCAGTGTTGGCACACTTGGGAGGCAGAGGCAGGTGGAGGCCAGCCTGGTCTACAGAACAAATTCTAGGACAGCCAAGGCTATGCAGAGAAACTCTGTCTCAAAAACCAAAAAGAATTAAGAAATGGATGATTTTTGGAGATGAAAACTGACTTTTAACCATCCTGCCACCTCTGTACTACACTTAAACAAGTAAATATCATTGGCTTTGGATTGGGACTGGTATCTTCTGGGATTCCAACCCCTGCTGGCATGTGTTCTCTAGGGAGCACCAGAGTCATCTGGGCCTGTTCAGACAGATTGCCAAACCTTCTCTCTCTCTCTCTCTCTCTCTCTCTCTCTCTCTCTCTCTCTCTCTCTCTCTTAAACAGAGTCTCACTATGTATCTCTGGCTAGTCTGGAACTCATTATGGAGTTGAGATCAGGCTGGCCTGGAACTCACAGAGATCTGCCTTGCTGTGTCTTCTCCATGCTGTCCTTAAAAGCATGGACCTGATGAAGTTTGAGTTTCTAAGAGATCCCCAGGGGATGCCAAGGATAGTCTCCTCAAAAGGTCTAGAGCAGTGGTTTTCAACCTGTGAGTTACAACCCCTTTGGGCATTGAGTGACCCTTTCACAGGGGTCACATAGCAGATATCCTGCATAACAGACATTTACATTACAATTCATAACAGTAGCAAAATTACAGTTATGCAGTAGCAATGAAACATGAGGAACTGTATTAAAGGGTCACAGAATTAGAAGATTAAGAGCCACTGGTTGAGAGATACTACTGGCCATATGGTTGCTGTTCTGCCTCAATGATGGTTTTGCCAAGAGCATAGAAGATGGGGCTGGAGGCTGTCCTTCAGAATTCTAGCTCCAAGTTCCAACAGTAGTTGTTTGTGTTTAGGCCCCCTCAGTGGCATCCTGTTGTTCCTAGTGTGAAGGTCAAAGTCCTAAGTTCACACCTGCAAATCTCGGTTGCTCCCTTTTCTCTTTCTCCTCTTCATGTTGTAGGCTCATTGGCTTTCCTTTTGTCTGTTGCAGGGAATTTGCACATGCAACATGCTTTTATCTGTGCCAAGCTTTCACCTCCTAGTTTGAATTAACTCTTTGCTTTTATTAGCTCAAGGCCTATGTTCCTAGTTTTTCTTGCCATTCTCGAAAGGGTCACATATCCTCATTATGTGCTTTCTCCTATCTTTAAAACTTTATGTTGAATTATAATGCAAAACATATGAGCCAGGCATGGTGATTCAGGTCTATAATTCTGGCCAGCCTGGGCTACACTGTGTGATTCTGACTGAATAATGAAACCACACATGGCTTCATTAGCATCACTATTATTTAGTTGGTGCCTTTTCCACTGTTCTTTAAGGTCCACAGAGGCCAAAGCTTCGTCCATTTTGCCTTATGATACTCTGACTCTTCGCTCAGTATCAGCCATATGGTTGTCATTCATTTGGTATCCCCCCCCCCCCCTTTCTTTTTGTTTTTCTAGACAGGGTTTCTCTGTATTGCTTTGGAGCCTGCCCTGGAACTAGCTCTGTAGACCAGGCTGGTCTTGAACTCACAGAGATCTGCCTGCCTCTGCCTCCCGAGTGCTGGGATTAAAGGCCACCAACACCACCTTCAGTAACCCTTTTTGAATGAATTATTTTCAAAAACTTTGTCTCCGTTTTGTTGTTCTGCATTTCCTTTGTAGGTCAGAGTTGATGTTCACTTCTGTGGTGTTAACTTTGCCGACATTCTGGTCTGTCGTGGTCAGTATCAGGAAACCCCCCCTCTTCCCTTTATACCTGGTGAGTATGGGGAACAAAGTGACTATTTCAGGAGAAGAAGGATGCGAAGGTTTCAGAGCCACATATGTCTTCTTAGACACCACTCCCCGCTATCTCATGACTCTCCCCCTGCAGGCCTATTGTACTCAATATTGTATTCCCACATTAGCATTGTCCTGGCTTATCGATGACACTCAGTGATCCAGTTAGATTGCTGCGATAAAGCACTGACCAAAATCAACTTGGGGAGGAAAGGGTTATTTGGCTCCCACTTCTCTCCATGAGGGAAGACAGGGCAGGAACTGAAGCAGAAACCATGGAGGAATGATGCTCACAGGCACATGTTGGGCTATCCTTCTTATATTGCCCAGGCTCATCTGCCCAGAGATGATACCACTCACAGTGGGCTGGGCCCTTCTATATCAATTAGCAATCAAGTAAATGCCCCACAGACATGCCCAGAGGCAAATCTGACTGAGGTAATCCCCTAATTGAGACTCCCTCAGATGCTTCTGGGCTATGTCAAGTTGACAGCTAGCTAAGGATGTTCACTTTAAAATGAACAAATGGGCAACTGTTTACACGTAGTTATGTTCACCAGGATTCTATTGTTAACCCTGCTTATTCCTTTGCCTTTTTGGTGTTGCCTCTGTTTTATTTTTTCACTGAAGGATCATAAACATGCTTACAGCTAAAACCTGTACCCTCATCACCCCAAGCCCAAAAAGGAGCTCAATGCTGAAGGTTCCAAAGGAAGAAGAAGAAGGAAAAAGTTTAATTATATGTTGGCAGTCCACTGTCTGATTTCCATTATATTCTATCTGGTTACTTTTAGATCTTTAATACGTAGATACATGACTGGTTTTTGTTGTTGAAGTTTATTTAAGGACATCTAAGTGGAGCTTAGTATATTTGGAGCACATGCATATTATATATAGATAAATATAAAGATTTAGTGATTCCATGATTGCAACACATCTGTTATGTTTGGGGTTTTTGGTATTGTGTCTTAATACCAGAAACCATTTCCTTCTGTTTGTATTTGCTGAAAGAATAGGACAGAGAATGAAGTTATTCCCCTGGCAAAACAAGTAGGAAATGCATAGCTATTAGGTTCAGAAATTTCAGAGGTGGTGAGGCAGTGATGGTACATGCCTCTAATTCCAGCATTTAGGAGACAGATCTATGTGGGTTTGAGGCCAGCCTAGTCCACAGAGCCAGTTCCAGGACAGCCAGGCCTACACAGAGAAACCCTGTCTCAGAAAAAAACCCAAATGAAAATCAAATAAAAAAATAAAAAAGAAAGAAATTTCAGAGGTGGACGAAGAAAGGGCAGATGACACCACTTCATCCTATTGAGCTGAGTACTGTCTGAATAAACACAGGTCATGTCCTTGAGGACCTCCTCATAGTTCAGCAAAGGAGACATGGCAGCAGATTAATATAATTTGGTGATCATTGTAGTTGGGGGTGTGTAGGAGCCCAATGGCCCACTGATCAGGGTCAAAAGTACATGTGTACCCATGAGTCTGCTTTTGCATATGCTTGAACTGATCTAGGTCAAGAGTGGGACAGCCATGACATATGTGTTGTGACCATGAAACCTTTGACTATGAAACCTTATGCTCATTATCCCATTTTTTGAGTACCACCTTTTGTCCTTAGTTAAAATGATGGGCATTCAAAACTTAAAATAGCTCTCATAGCAGACGAGGCTCCCTGTTTATCAGCATTTTCCTATCTTCAGGGTGCTGGGCTTCGAAGGTAACCTAATCTTTAAATGTTTCAGGAATGGAGTTTTCTGGGGCTGTCCTGGAGACAGGAACAGATGTCAGCACCGTGAAAAAGGTAAATTGGTTAAAACCCAAGAATGTGTGTAGCTGTGAGGAATGTGCTAACTTCATTTATAACCAAAAGCCTTGCTTCTCCTGGCCTTTGCCACATGACCAAGGGAACTCAAGACAGAAGGGAAAGAATGAATTATGAATGAGGAGGTGAGGGGACTTGGTGGAAGTTTCTGGCCCCATTAAACTCTTTATTATGAATATAAGACAACACTTGCCCTTCAGTTATCAAAAGAATAAAGGATTTTATTTTGATAAAAGATTTTTAAGTTTGAGTGAAAGTGAGAAAAGAAATAGTGGGGATTCTAATCCCTGCCAAGTTTCCTTCCTCAGCTCCCCAGTGTGTAAAATGTGTTCATATTGGCTTGGTAGCCCTTGGTATTGAGAGAACTGTCATTTTTTTAAAAACTAGAAATGAATTCTGAAGAGATATTAAGGCCAAGTTGTATCTTCTGGGTCAGAGATGTGTGTCTTGGAATGCAAGGCCATGCCTTTGAGCATATGTCCTTTCCCCTGCAGGGAGATCGAGTTATTGGAGTGAGTAACTTGAATGCTATGGCTGAAGAGTGCATCACGGACCAGAAGGTATATCTGCCTCTCAGTCCCGTTAGACACATAGATTCTTCTTTTCTTTGTGCTGTTTAGTTTCCATGTCTCTCTTCTCACACCACCCTCCTTTTGCATTTGTTTCATTATATCTTGTTTCTAGCCAGTTTTTTTTTTTTTAATTCAAATGTTCAACTTCTGTATTGGGGTACACAGTCCTTGCATAGAGTTTTGTTTGTGTAGTTTTTTTTTTTTCTTCCCTTCTTCTTCTTTCTTTTTTTCAAGTGCCTGAGCAACTGGCTGGCCATTCATTTGAACCGTATTTACTGAGTTGTGGTTGAAAAACTGGTTAGCCCATTGAGTTGAATATAGGTTTGTTTTCCTATAAAGCTATGGAAGTGGTCTGCACTGGGAACAGCGCCAGCCAGGGTAGCTCTGTATGGGGTGAGCAGGATGTGCATGGTGCCCCCTAGTGGGGTCATGTTATAAGGATTCCATCCAACTTCACTGATGTAAAATTGACCTAACGCACAATTCGCCATAGTAACCTGGAGTCTATTCTCCCACAATTAGCTCCTTTTTTTTTTGAGTACATGCCAGCCTTAGGGATTTGAAGTCTGACACACCCGAGTCCTAAACTCACCCAGCTTGCCTGGTCCTGACATGTACTCCGTAATAGGTGATGATAGACATGTGTTTCCCATTGCCTATTACTCACCCAGTCAAATTATAATGTTTATTGAGCAGCCTCTGTAACCAGGTATACATGTTTGCCACAGTTTGCTCTTATTTCTTTGTATAGACCCTGTGGCAGGTTCCAGAAAATGTCTCTCTACAAGATGCTGCAGTCCTACCTGTATCTTACGGCACAGCTATTTTGGCTGTAGAGCATCGGGCCCGCACCCAGCCTGGGTAAGAGGCAGAGGGCTAGGTGGTACCTTTTGTTGATACCAGAAATGCCTGGCATGACCTGAAGCCCAGTATGGTGGTGCATTTGGTGTTCCTAGCATTTGGGAAAAGAGGCAGGAGGATCAGGAACCCAGGGCCCTCCTCATCTGCAGAGTGAGTTAGATGCCAACCTGAGCTCCATGAGACCCCGTTTCAGAGCCCAAACCAAACCCTTAATAAAACAGGATTATCCTTCCTCTCCTTCCCTCACCTCCTCCCTCTCATTCTTTCTCCTTGACACTCCCCTTGCTTTTCTTCAGCCCGGGTTCCTTTAAGAGGAGGAAAGGCAAATGAGGTAATCTCTTCATACTGGGGACTAGGTGTGGCCATCCTTTTGCTTCAGAATGGTAGAACTTGGAGTATGAATTTGGAAGAGCAGGTTCACTTGAACCTGACCAGCCTGGAGATCACTTCATTGGAGATCTTCAAGTTTACAGAGTTGATTTAGTTTTATTTTATTTTATATATTCATTTATTTTTTTAATTTACATATCGATCCCAGTTCCCTCTCTCTCCTTCCCTTTTTATTTTACTTTTTAAAGTTTTTCATTTATTTTTATCTTGCGTGCATTGTTGTTTTTACCTGTATGTATGTCTGTGTGAGGGTGTCAGATCTTAGAGTTAGATAGTTGTGAGCTGCCATGTAGATGCTGGGAATTGAACCCAAGTCCTCTGGAAGAGCAGTCAGTGCTCTTAATCACTGAGCCATCACTTCAGCCCCTATTTTAGGTCTTGTACCAGGCTGGCCTGGAACAACTTATATAGCCCAGGTTAGCTTTGAATCCAGGAGCTTCATTCTTAGCCTTCGCAGTGCTGGGGGCACAGGCCTGTATCATCATTAATAGGTGGAAGTTGGTTTATTTAAATTCACTTCCTGTGTAAGGCTTCTGATATGTGTTTCTATGAGGCTTGGTTGTTTATGCCAAGTAGAATACTTTATTATATTATTTATTATATTTGGTTTTCAATACAGGTTTTTTCTGTGTTACTCTGGCTGTCCTGGAAGTCACTCTGTAGACCAGGCTGGCTTTGAATTCACAGAGATCCACTTGCCTCTGCCTCATGAATGCTGGGATTAAAGTCACGAGACACCGCTGCCTGGCTATAGATATTTTAAACTTAAAGTTCTGAAATCTCCCCTTTATTTGGGAAACTGGCTCTCAGTCTGTTCAGAGAGCTGACCTTCAGAGTTGCTCCAACTGGTAGCTTCAATTGAACAGTGGCTAGGCCATGAATGCCACCTTCTAAAATCAGGCATTGTTTAGTTGAGAACTATTACAGGATGAAATTTCTGAAGCGTGCATCTGTATTTGCTTAGAGGAACAGTTGCAACTGCTGAAAGAGAGAGAGAGAGAGAGAGAGAGAGAGAGAGAGAGAGAGAGAGAGAGAGAGAGAGAGAACCTAGAGAGCATTGAGAGACCTTTTTCCTGGAAAGTCTTCAGAAGGGGACAGAGTTAGCATTTGTCCTGAAGTCATTGTACATGTCCCACCCTCAAGGCTGGAGAGAGACTTACATGAAAGTTTGAATGAAAGGGTCTCTAGCATTCTTGCTTTAAAATGCTCTCATCTGTGTCCCTGGAACCTAATCTTTGGGTGATCTTTGAAAATTTCTACAGCAACATTCTTCTTCCCTTGGCACAGAGAAACTGTTCTAGTGACGGCCGCCGCTGGAGCCACAGGCCTTGCAGTGATAGATGTGGCAACAAATGTTCTCCAGGCTAAGGTATTGAGTATTAGAATTTCCATTAAAAACTAACTCGAGTGTTTAGGCATAAAATATATCACTTCACTTATCAAGTCTTATGGAAAGGACACTGGGGACATATAGTACTTAGAGTAAGATCTTACCATCTGTGTGCTTTCTCACTAAGAGACCTAACAGTGTGCCACTTGGCCCTTCAGGTACAGGAACCTGGCAAGGGCCGCCTCCCACCATGGCCTCTGCAGATGCTCTCTTATCTGCCTACTGTGCTCCAAACTGTCTCCCTCTTATTCAGATTTAAACTCATGTCACCTTTTCAGGGAAATATCCCTGTCCTCAGGCTAGGACAGTCACCCCTCCCTACTATTTATGTATGATCTTATACTATCCTGTGTTTCTGTTTCTTAGTGCATACCTCACTTTGTGATTGCTCCGTATTTGGGCCATTGTGGGTAAATGTCTTCCCTTCTCCTGGACTGTAGTCCGTATGAAGGCAAGGGAAATTGCCTGCATGGTTCATGACTAGTCTCTGCAGCTATTGTGGTGCCTAGAGCATAGTATATGCTCAAGAGCTATTTCAAATAATGAATTCATTAATTGAGTAATGCATGAATGAATAAATGAATGGAAGATGGATCAAGTCTCTTCAGAGGCCATCTCTGGGGCTGCAGGGCTCAGAGAAAGACTTCATGAGAAAATAGATACTTCAGAAGACCTCTGAAGGACTAGTATCAGTTGAATAGAAGAAGTCGAGGACAATTCAAGGCCATTTTAGTGATGGGTCAATGTGGTAGAAGACCAAGGAAAAGGAAGAAGCACCGTACATGCAGGGAATTGCCAGTGGTATCTCTGGAACAAAGGACCTGCAGTGGAATGGTGAAAGGCGATACTAGTCAGGCATGATAGGATCGTGAGTGCCTTGTTTACAGCTGAAATACTTGAAGACTATGGGTGGGGGGGGGAGTTATTGAGAATTTAAAGTAGGAAAATGACATTATTATCTTTAGTTTTAGTTTTGTTTTGTTTGAGGCAAAATCTTGCTGTGTGGTCTAGATTGGCTTCCAACTGGGGAATCCTCCTGTTTTGCTGGAATTACCGGTCCTCACTACCCCTCCCTGCATTGCCTTTGCATTTGAAGTTTACTTTGGTGGCTGTGGGTATGAGGGATGGAGGTAAGGTCACGGGTGATGGAGACAGAAGGGCAACTCATTGTCTGGGATAGAGGTTATGATACCTGGACCAAGGCAGTTGAGATCACTGGGAAAAATATAGAGTATTCAAAGACCCGAGAGCATCTTAGTAGTCAGAGGAAGGCTCTAAAATATTGGAGGGAGGTTCACATCACAGCTCTGCTTCCAGCTTAAGAGCATCAGTTACTTCATGTGTAAGATGTTGCTTCCATAAAGCTGCTGGGAATATTGAGTTTCTGTATGCAACCTGCCTATCAGAAGTGTGGTGTGTCAGTTTGTTTTTCTAATGAGTCCTGTTATTGCTAGACATTGAGTGGGAAGAAAGAAACTAAGTTAACTTTTGGCATTGCCATTTGTTGAGATGGGGAGTGAGGAGGAAATGGAGAGAGCTGGGACATGGAGGGCACAGAGGGACATGGAGGGCCGTTTTGGCCACGTTGATTGCAAGGTTCCTTTGCCACATGTGGCCTGAGTGCAAGGTTCCTCTGGCACTTGTGGCTGGGATGGTGAGACTGCACCTAGAAATAGAAGTTGATGGTATTTGGCCCCTTAGGTGGCATCTCTCCTTTCTCACCTTAGTAAACTTGAAGAAGGAGATGTGAGATGAGAGAACAACCTCAGGGAATATTAACACATCTCATGTTATCAGGAAGGGCTTTTGGCTCTCTTAGGGGAAGAGATCATGATTAGTCTCCATGTCTGTTTAGCATTTCTTAAGAAGATTAAATTATACCACTTACTTAGTTCTAAGAGATTCAATAGAATTGCTTCAATTCAGATATTAAAATTCATCTGAGCTATATCTTCTTATGAAGCATAAAGTCCTTTAAGATATAAGAACATGAAAATAAACATTAAAAATGTGTCCATGCGCCCTACTTAGCACAGGTCATTTGCTCACACCTTCTATCCACAGTGTCCCATACTGCTTCCAGAGTGCCTCCGAAGCAATTATCTTAACCATGACCCTCATACTGCCCCTGGGAGATGAGTCCTCTAAGTGTTCATTATCGCTATCTGCTTCACAGATCAGGAAAGTGAAGCACCAAGTGAGAAAGCAGTTCACTGTAGGTCTCACTGAGACCTGGTGACAGTCTGTACGTGGGGTCAGGTAGCTGGTCCTAGTCTGGTGTCTGCTCACCATGGCCCTCTGTGCTGTTTTCACTAGGGAGCACTGGAAAGTAGCTTTCAGTTCTAAATAGTTATGGGTGAATTTGGAGTCCTTTATGGACACTGATGCTCTTCAGTATCTGAGTACATTTGTTGTTGTTGTTGTTGACAGGGTTTCTTTGTGTAGCCCTGGCTGTCCTGGAATTCATTTTGTAGAGCATGCTGGCCTTGAACTCACAGAGATTAAAGGCATGCGCTACCACCACCCAGGAGCACATTTTTTTAATTTTTTTTTTTAACAGCCAAAGATTTTATTTGGTAATCAATTAACAAAGAAGCTGGCATACCTAACTCAGAGAGAATTTAACCATCACACATATATAACAATGCTGAAATGAGTTTACAAATAGTTGAAAGTGGTCAGTAGATTGGGGCAATAATAATGAGACTGGGTCTTACTCCATCCATCACCTAGGCTGGCTTCAGCCTCTTGACTTAGCCATTTCAGCCTTCTAGACAGATAGATTTACAGGCATGTACCACTGTGATGAACTCTGCACTGCATCCTTATGGGTGAGAAGTAGTGTGGTATCATCCCTAACCCAGACACCCACACTTTGCAGTACTTAAATCTGAAAGTCTTTTGAGTGCTGTCAAATACCACAAGTAGAGTTCCACACCCCTGCTCCTGAGACAGACTGGAGCAAAAACACAGGCATGACTTAGCAGGCATAAACCAGTGGTAAAACAATTGATTGGCATGTATAAGGCCCCGAGCTCAATTCCCCACTATTTAAAAAAAAAAAAAAAAGAGAAAATCATGCTCCTTTATATCCAGTGTTGGTATACCCCTATTATTCCCAGAATCAGAAGGCCGGGGAAGGAGAATGGGTAGCTAGATTCCCAGTTGCAGGTTATGGCAATATCCTCTCTCAAAGATACCAGGCAAGCAACCCTCTTTAAAACAACTAACAGTCAAGCCAAAATTGCCTTCAGGCTACACAAGTGCAGATTCTGAGCATCACCTTGGACTTTGTGGGGGTGTCCTCACTGACAAGGCATTTCTAGGCAACACTTCAGTGCTTACTTATAGCTTTGGGACTTTCCAGATCCTGGACTGGCCACACATCTGTCTTGGGCCTTAGCCTTAGGCATGGTTTTCCCCCAAAATGACAAAGCAGAAAAAGCGTGCACTTTGGAGGAAGGCACTACCACTGGCTTTGCAGTGTTCTTCTGCCACCTACTACTTGGGTGACCCTGGCTTGACTGCTTTAGTCTCTCTGAGTCTGTACCTCTGCAGTGATGGACGGGCAGTAATTGTGCCTTCCCCATAATGTTCCTCTGAAGTTTAAATAGAATAAGCCATTGCATAAGTCTGACATTGGCTGTAACTTATCTACCCCCGCCCCCAAGGCTCTGTATTCAGGGTTCCACTTACCTATAGAAATAAGTTTTCTTTGACTGATTAGAGGCAGCTGATAACCTGGAGAAGCTGTCAGACAGTGTGGAGGTTCTGTGTGTAGAGCCTGGTTAAGGAAGTTACCTGGATTGGGTCTCAGCTGTGTGGTCTTCCTTGGATAATTTACTTAACTTCTCTTAACTTGCCTCTGTTTCTTCATCAATAACAGAGCTAATTAATGGTGTCTGTTTCATTGAGCTATCATGAATAAATGAATTATTAATATACATAAAGCATTTAGAATAGTGCCTGGAAAAATATAACACTGTGTTGTTAGTTCTTCCTAAATGATTTGTCCAGTGTGACGCAGCTTGTGAGTAGAAGAGCCAGGATTTGAACCCTCGTCTGTCTGACATCAGAAATTTCTGCTGGCTTATGTTCACCCACTGGGATGCCTTTCCTGATCTTCAAGATCTAGACCAGAAATCTCTGGTTTGTGCTCGTGGCGCCTCACTCCTTTCCTGCCATGCAGTACATCTTGCTTTCTTGACCCCAACCGAGACGTCCAGCTTGTACTTTTACAGTGTGGCTCACGGTAGGTGCTCAATAAATGGTGGTTTTCGTGGGGAGTTGGAGGAAACTTTCACTGTTTTTCAAACTATCTAACTAGACATATGGCTTCCTCGAACTGTGCACTTCAGAACTTATGGTACAAGGAGGGGCCAATGAGATGCTGTCAGTGTTGGGATCAAGGCCAATGCCTGGGCAGGAGGAGTTACTTGAGAAGCACTTTGGCTGGAGTCTAGATTGGTAGGATGTACCCTTCCTATGACATGATCTGGACCATTGAAAACCTTGTGTTTCCCCTCAGGTCATAGCTGCAGCCGGAAGCGACGAGAAGTGTAAGCTGGCAGTGCAGAGAGGCGCACAGTCCAGTGTGAACTACAGCCAGGGCAGCCTCAAGGATGCAGTGAAGAAGCTGGTGGGCAGCGGTGGGGTGAATGTGGCCATTGACATGGTGGGAGGAGATGTCTTCCTAGAGTCTGTCCGCAGGTATGTGTGGTGTTCCATCCATGATGGCTAGACCTGGGGCTCCACAGACCCTTCCTGCTTCTCCAACTCCAACTGCCTTGGCTTCTCCCTGCCTTTGCTGCTCATGTCTCCTGCAGGCACCAGCATCAACGAGAATAGCTGAGTGGGTGGGTGACAAGGAGCAGAAGCAGAGAGAATCAGGAAATGCTTAAATATAGTAAAAACAAAATAGCCAACTGGAAAATATTCAAAAAATGACTGCAGACTCTCCAGTTGGCAATGCCAAAGACTTCAGAAATTATCTATGTGTTAAATCCAGTTCCCCGGCCCCCCACTAACTGCTTTAAATACACGGGGGTGCAGGGTTCTGGGAAGATCATTGTTCAGATGTTAGGATCGCTGTAGCGGCAGTTCCCCATTCCCCAGCTGGTTATGCACCGAGGCACAAGCTCTCGTGCCAGTGCTGGCCCTGCAGAGCAGCTGTGTGCTTTCTTGGTTTTCTGATTAACTATGTGTCCCCTGAGGCTTGGTGGGACTGTTCTATCTTCCCAGCTTCTTTGCGTTTCCACCAGGGCTTCTGGTGTGTTCTGAGAGCACTGCTCCCATCTACCCTTCACTTTTCCTCCCTGTTTGTTAAGATGGGATATTTGCTGTGCTGTCCTGAAACTCACTCTACTGTAGCCAAGGCTGGCCTTGAACTCCTGATCCGCTGCCTCCTGAGCGCTGAGATCACAAGAATACGTGAGCCACCACAGCTGGCCTGGTTTCATTTTTCACATCCATGCTTTGTAGAGTATCTCAGTTTGAAGTTGAAAAACAAGAGCAGAGACAGCAGCCTGGCCACAGAAGGAATCCAGTTAGCACTGGAAAGAATCTGGAAGGAATCCCTTGAGCTGGGGCGCAGGCACATGGGCACTGAGAATCACTTGAGGTGCCAGTCCTGTGCACAGGGAAGAACAGAGACAGGGTGCGGAGACCGAGTGGACATACTCTTCTTGTGCCTTCCATCTTTCTGCCTGAATAACTGTGGTTTGCATTTCCTTTCTGAAGAAGAAAAACAAAACAACAGAACAAACGAAGCCCAAACAACCACACACATGTCTTCTATCAGAAACCCATGCAGAGCTGTTGTTTATAATTCATGTGTAGCATGCTCTATGGTACTTTTCACAATGGGCTCCAGAAAGGTTGGGGGTTTTTATAGATCATTCAGAATTCTCTAAAGAAGGTACCATGCTTTCAGAAGCCCTAAAGTGTCTCTGTTTAAAGTGACTGCTTGTGCCATCATCTGTCTTATTCCTGTTACCTAGGTTCAAAATCTTCAAGCTGAGTTGCCTTGAAATTCAGCCCATGGAGTGACATTTGTTGATACCCAATACCCTTTCACAGTGGAAGGGACTGCAGGTGGACTTTTTCTGTCCTGTCAACCAGCTCCCAAATCATGACATGGAGACATATTAATTTTGCAAGCTTGGCAGATAGCTTAGGTTTGTCCTACTAGCTTTTGTAACTTAGATTAACCAATTTTTAGTCATCTATGTGTTGCCACATGACTCGTGGCATTTACTTGTCCTTCTGCATGTCTTTCTCCTTCTTGTTCTGGTTGGCAACTCACCCTTCTTCCCAGTGTTCTCTCAGCCCTGAATATCCTGCCTAGCTATTGGCCGTTTAGCTTTTTATTAAATCAGAGTGACACATAAATCATAGTGTACAGACGGATTATTCCACAGCAAGAGACCTCCTTGATTCTAAAGCACATTGTCCTGGAGCGTACCTGTGTGACAGCATGTTGCCCTGACCTGTGGGACTGGTCCTCTACAGCATGTGACAGGATTTCCTTCCTTATAGAGGTGTAATACTTGGCTTGTTTCTCCCCCTTGGCTGTTTGGGAATGATGCTGTCATAGACACAGGTGTGCGCAGATATCCCTCAGTGCTCTGCTTTTGGTTCTCTTAGATATACCAGGAATAGAGTTACTGAATGCACTTTTAATTTTTTTTTCCCAAGACAAGAGTTTCTCTGTGTAGCCTTGGCTGTTCTAGAACTTACCTGTAGACCAGGCTGGCCTCAAACTCAGAGATCTACTTGTCTCTGCCTCCCAAATGCTGAAATTACAGGCATGTGACACCACCGCCTGGCTATTTTCTTTTTTTATAGTAGCCACTTGATGGGAATACATGTCCATTGTGCTCTCTCTCTCTCTCTCTCTCTCTCTCTCTCTCTCTCTCTGTGTGTGTGTGTGTGTATGTGGTGTATGTGCATATGTACATGTTGGGGCCGGTGTACTTGCCCATGTATGATTGTGTGGAGGCCAGAGGTTGGTGTTGGATCTCTTCCTGTATTCCTCTCCACCTGATTTTTCCAGACAGTGTCTCCTACTGAACCCCGAGGTCACCATCTCAGTTAATGTGGTTGCCTAGGGCGCCCCCACCCCAGTGCTAGGATGCACACCACCATGCCTTCCTTTTTATGTGAATGCCTTGGATCAGAACTCTGGTGCTCATGCTTGCACTATAAGCACTTTACTGACTGAGCTGTCTTCCCATCACTGTCTATTGCTTCTTATAACCTTTCTCCCTCCCTCCTTTCCCTCAGCCTGGCATGGGAAGGCAGGATTGTGGTGCTGGGATTCGCTGGAGGAAGCATCGCCTCTCTGCCTAGCAACTTGCTGCTCCTGAAGAACATCTCTGCCATGGGCCTGTACTGGGGTCGCTACCAGCACCAGGACTTTGCATTGTTTTCCAAGAGCTTGTCCTCAGCCCTGCAGTACTGCCAGCAAGGGCTCATCCACCCGCACACTGGTGCTGTGTTCAAACTGGAGAAGGTGAGGCAACATGTAAGGAATGTGGGGCAGATCAGGCTGGGGAATAATCTGTCAAATCTGGCAACCTTATCTCCCAGTACTTACTATCAACCCTCCTTTTATGGACTAAAAAGTGAAAATGCTATCCTGAGTGTCCATACTAAGCAGTGGTGTGTCAGACTTCAGTGTGTCCAGATTCCTGCCAGTCTCCTAGCTTTTGACGTAGATGCAGGATTATGCTGAATTTTGAAGGCTCTGTCTATGACTGGTGACCCAAATGGAGGAAAGTTACAGTACTTTAGAAAATAATTTACATGTGTTGATTTGAACCTTGAACTGTGCAGCATAGAGTCCCAAGGAGGAAGCACATGGCCTGACCTTTGGTTTTCAAATACAGATGCCTCGAAGTGTAAACCAGATGATCCGAGCTGGGTGCTTGGACAAGAACATAAATCATGCTGGGCACTAGAAGACTCTAATCAATGCATTAGTCACTGCAGTTCATTCTGTTAGCTATTCGATCCCTATTTTAGCACCCCCACCCCACCCAGTCTCATTAATGTGGCTTCAACTTCCTTCCCAGCAGAACTGCATGCATTCATTTGGAGCCTGACTGTGAATGTGAGTTTGCCAGGCATTTCTTGTGATGCCTGCTTTTCTTTCAGGAACCAACAGCCTTGTTTGGTAGCTCTAGGCTGTGATGAAGGCCATGTCTGGTTCAAATGTGGGTTAGCAGGGTTTAGGCTCTTGGTGCCCCATTTCATGGATTACCTGCCTCCCATCTGTGATTTGTTCTTGTGACAAGGCATGTTTTCTTGAAGCAGTGTGTGTCTGTTTTCTTTTTGGTGTGTGAGTCAAGAAAGTGGCAGACTGTTGATAGAGGCTGTGGCCTTTAGAAAGCGGGTTGTATTCAGTTCTAGCTTAGCCAGCTTCCCCTGTAGTATCTGGTAGTCCCCCCACTTCCTGACCTTCAGTTTCTGCTGTAGAATCACATTATCTGTGGCGCTCAGATGATGCTTCAGGAGCTGTGGTGGGAATATGGGTGGGAAGTGGGGACCACAGCTGCTGGCCTCTTGGAACACATTTCTTCAGAAGCCTAAGTAGCTGCATGTCTTTACTTTTTCATTCATATACTTTCCTTTTAAGAAAAAGCTTTTGTGGCTTAAAGACTTGAAAAGCACCAGCTTCCATAACTTCTAGGTCCCTTTCAGGCTATGGCTTTCTATCACCCAGAGACTGTACCTGTTGGTAGAGGAAGAGGCTGATCACTCTGTGGGAGGGCAAACAAGTGGTAGATGAAAGTCTCCTCCCTCCACTGATGTGTTTTCAGTGTTGCTGAGGCATGGGGAAAATCACTTTAATTGTCCACATTGCTGTTCTTTCCTCCCAAACATGAATTAGCTCTAATTACTGTCTGCCAGCTTCCATCTGCCTTTCTGCCTCCCAGGAAGGGCTCTTTACTGAGACTGCCTGGATCTGCCCCCTCTGCTGACTTAGGTGCTTTCTAGTGGCCTTCTGATTCTGCTTCCTAACACTAAGTCCATCCACACATCACACATTTGTTGTTTCTTCTCTTTCTGCGTCTACAACCAGGCAGACAATTTAGAGAGATACCAGAGGCTAAGCACTTTTCATGCATGCATTCATTTAACTTTCAGAAAAACTCTTTCGGTCTGCCAATTGTTTAATTACCTTTTATTGGTGAAGAACTTGGACTTTGAAGCCAAGAGAGCTGCCCTATGATGTGTTGTGTTGGAGCTGACATTCAGACATAGCTGGTCAGACACCAGAATCTCTCTGCTCATGACCATGTTAGACTATCTCTAAATAAACCAAGAAGTGAGTTTGCACATACTGTGCTCTCCTCCTATTCTCCTTCTCCGTCTCCTCCTCCTTCTTCTCCTTCTTCCTCTTCCTCTCCTTCTTCCTCGTCTTCTTCTTTTAAGACAGTTTCTCACTGTGTACCTCTGGCTTGCCTGTAACTCAAATATATAACAGGCTGGCTTCAAACTCAGGGAAGTCTGCTTACTTCTGCTTTCCAAGTGCTGGGAGATGGCTTAGCAGTTAAGCACACTGGCTTTTCTCCCAGAGGATCTGGGTTCAATTCCCAGCACCTACATGGTAGCTCATAGCTATCTGTAACCCCAGTTCCAGGAGTTCTTCTATCTTTATGCACATAAAATAAAGTTAAATAAATTATTTTTAAAAAAGGTGCTGTGGTTCTGGCTACCATAGCCAGAACATATTGTATTCTGTAGTGTGAGGCTTATCTATCTATCTATCTATCTATCTATCTATCTATCTATCTATCTATCTAACTATCTATCTATCTATCTATCTATCTATCTATCTATCTATCTTAGAAATATCTAAATGAACTACCTTGTAATTAAAATGGTCAGGACTCCTGTATTTACATAAGTGATGATAATTTTCACATTTTGTTCATTTAAAACTGAGGGTAAATGAATATATAATTGAACTTGAACTTTGTTTTGATTTAAACATTAATTATTTGTCAGAACCTGTTGGGATTAGAAAATAGTCACTGAACTTTTAAAATATGTACAGTGTCAGAATGATTGGTGCCTTTATAGAGTTGACCTTGGTAATTTGTATTACTATGACAATAAACTTTGCATTATTGTTCTCTTAGTGGGCTGGAGCCTATACTGCAGTGGCTCTCTGTTTTCTTATTTACTTAAAATTACTTGTTTGATGCCCATCTTTGTCATAGAGCACAGACTCCATGAAGACAGGGGCTGTATATTATCTGTACCTCTCTAGCTACAGATTTGAGCTATTGTCCCTCACATATCTGTTGAATAACTTATTGAGGTCAGAACCCCAGAGTTCAGATGCTGGCTATGAGTAGATAATACATCTTTTTTCCCTGCCATCATTTACAATGGGGCAGTAATATACTCTACTTGCTATGCTGGTTGTGAGAATTAAATCAGATAATACACATGAAAAAAACATAATGAATTTGGTAACTTTCAAATACCTATGATAGATAGCATTGTTATAAAATACAGAGTTGAGCTTTTCCTGTCCCCACGAAGAATAATGTTTGCATGAACATTTCAGGGGGCAGGACTAGAACCATAGTTTTTAGGTTTTGAATTTATACTGGAACATAACTATTTACTGTAGGTTGATATCTGTGCTGTACTGGGTGGATTACATATTGGCACATGATCTGTTTAGAGAATAGTGTTGCTGAGGTAGCAATCTGTTTTCTTTATGATGCTGGCTGCATACATCCTGACCTAACACAGCGTTCAGATTTCATAGGTCTGAAATTGTTCCTTATCTAAAGGTCAGGTGAGGTTACCACATGAATAGAATTTCAGTTTTCTTGTATCTGTTGAGACTTGTTTTGTGACCGAGTATGTGGTCAGTTTTGGAGAAAGTTCTGTGACCTGCTGAGAAAAAGGTATATTTTTGGCTTTAGATGAAATGTCCTGTAGACAGCTGTTAGGCCCATTTGATTCTTAATGTCTGTTAGCTCCATTATTTCTCTGTTTAGTTTTTGTCTGGATGACCTGTCCACTGGTGAGAGTGGGGTATTAAAGTCTCCCACTATTAATATATGAGGTTTGATGTATGGCTTAAGCTTTAGTAATGTTTCTTTTACAAACGTGGGTGCCCTTGTGTTTGGAGCATAAATGTTAAGAATTGAAATGCCATCTTGATAGAGTTTTCCTTTGATAAGTATGACATGTCCTTCTCCATACCTTTTGATTAATTCTGGTTTGAAGTCTGTTTTGTTAGATATTGACATAGCTATGCCATCTTGCTTCTTAGGTCCATTTGCTTGGAAAACCCTTTTTCAACCCTTTACTCTGAGGTTATGTCTGTCTTTGATATTGAGGTGTGTTTCTTGTATGCTGCAGATGGATGGATCCTGTTTTTTTTTTTTTTCCTGTTCTGTTAGTCATATATTTTTTTTAACTGGGGAAATTGCGTCCATTGATATTGAGAGTTATTAATGACCAATGTTATTTTGTTGTTGGTGGTAGTGTGTGTGTGTGTGTGTGTGTGTGTGTGTGTGTGTGTGTGTGTGTGTGTGTATCCCTTCTTTGGGTTTTGTTGGTGTGAGTTTACTTCCTTGGGTTGGAGTTTTCCTTCTTATATCTTTTGTAGGACTAGGTTTGTAGGTAGAGATAGTTTAAGTTTGACTTTTTCATGAAATAACTTGTTTTGTGCATCTATAATGATTGAAAGGTTGGGTATAGTAGTCTGGGATGGCATCTGTGCTTTCTTAGAGTTTGCAAGACACATTTTCAGGGCCTTCTGGCTTTTAGAGTCTCTATTGAGAAGTTAGGTGTAATTCTAATAGATCTGTTTTTATATATTGACCGTTTTCTTTTGCGGCTTTTAGTATTCTTTCTTTGTTCTATATGTTTAGTGTTTTGATCATCATGTGGTGTAGGGACTTTCTTTTCTGATTAAATCTATTTGGTGTTTGGTAAGCTTTTTGTATTTTTATAGGCATGTCTTTTTTGGGTTAGGAAAAATTTTTCTGTGATTTTGTTAAATATATTTTGTGGGGTTTTGAGCTGTGATTATTCTTCTATTTCTATTATTCTTAGGTTTAGTCTTTTCATGGTGTCCCAGATTTCCTGGGTGTTTTGTGTCAGAAGTTTTTTTTTTTTTTTTTTTAGATTTAACATTTTCTTTGACTGATAAATCTATTTTTTTCTGTTGTATCTTCATGCCTGAGATTCTCTCTTCCACCTCTTGTATTCCATTGGTAATGCTTACGTCTGTAGTTACTGTTCACTTACCCAGATTATCCATTTCCTTAATTCTCCCAGTTTGTGTTTTCTTTATTGCTTCTGTTTCAATTTTCAGGTTATGAATTGTTTCCTTTACCCATTTGTTGTGTTTTCTTGGCTTTCTTTAAGGGAGTTATTAGTTTCCTCCAGTATTTTGTCTTTTCCTTGATTTCTTTAAGAGTGTTTTCAGTTCCTTTTTAAGGACCTCTATCATCTTCATAAAGTTGTTTGTAAGAT